GTTTGAAATAAATCTATCCTCCGTAGATTATTATTATTTATTAACATATTCTTTGTGGGCTGTATTCGTTCACGGGGATTAGCCGATTACTACTTTGATTTAAAATTTAATGCTCGCAATGTTTAAAAAATCAAGAATATTTTAAGGTAGCTTTCCATTTACTTAATTTTCGGACCGAATTAATGCTTTAATGGCCGTTGAATATCATCATCCGGAGCTCTGCATCTCATGATTGGCTGTGCTGAAGCGCGTGAACTTATTTACATGATACGCGTAATTAAGTCGTGACTATACGCGCTAACTATGACGTCAACTCTTAAGAATGTCACTTTAACGAAGCCTATTATCTTCTTCGCATCTTCTTTTAAACGCAGCCTAAATAATCTCCTCTTCGCATCGCTTTTAATAGGACATCGACTAAGACACACATCTTATAAACCAACCTCAATCATTGTTGGCTTTAAAAACAATTTTGTTTTAATTAAATAAAGCTTATGAAGCGTGTGTGGAGTTTTTTCCCAATCTCGTTGAATTGAACATCAATGTTTTAGTGGATTTGTAATAATAATAACGATTTTTTTAAAATGTTGTGCATTTAATTTTAAGTAATGTAATTTTGTATTAACTGTTTAATTTGTGATATTACCAGACTGTTTACCACATACATAATATAAATGAAATGAATATATAATAATGATGATGATGATGATGATAATAATAATAATAATAATAATAATAATAATAATAATAATAATAATAATAATAATAATAAAAATTAAATTCTTCCATAGCGCATTCCACAAAAAGGCCTCAATGCGCTTTAAAACAAGAAAAACAAGCAGTAAATAATTTTGACTGAAACTAACAGTGCTCTATCGGTACAAGTATCCAGAACTGTGCTCCACCCACCGATGTCAAAAACAACGTCGCTGTCACACCCGGGTGCACGCAGGTACTCTGTTAGACAGTATGCTGGGCTCCAGTAGCAATAGTAGGTGTGTTAAGAATATAGTATTTTAAGAATATAGTATTTTAAGTATAGTATTCTTATACTGTAAGTAAGATATGATTTTAATTTACATCGATTATTTCTTAAAATTTTTCTTTTGGTATAATTGTTTAACTTTGATACAGAATAATAATATAATTTATAAAAATTAATAGAAACAATTTTTGTTATCTGTTTTTTATTTTAAGATTTTGATTCTTCAAATTATTTATAATGTATTTTATATACACATAATTTTATCATTAGTGTATGAAATTTGTAGCATAGCAAGTGTATACTCATACTATTGCATTATGAGATTCTTCCTTACCCTTTTCATTTATCTATTTATCACATCCATAGGATGCTATTTTGCAAGAGCATGGAGGTATAAAATCGAGATGAGAGGCTTGAAATTTTTTACAGTTTACCTAAATAACTAATTACGTTTCGTAACTTTTTCGTTTAGGGCTATGTTTTGTTCCGATTTGAAAACCGTTGTTACCATTTACATGTGTGTATACATAATACGTAGCTATAATAGCATATGGGCATATATGCCTATGTATAATATAACAACAAAAAAACAACCTGTAGGCAGAATGAACATAGCGAGATGTTTTATATGAGTTACAATATGGTCCTACAATGATAAAACAATTATGTTATTATTGTTATTATTATTATTATTATTATTATTATTATTATTATTATTATTATTATTATTATTGTTATTATTGTTATTATTATTATTATTATTATTGTTATTATTGTTATTATTATTATTATTATTATTATTATTATTATTATTGTTATTGTTATTATTATTATTATTATTATTATTATTATGTTATTATTATTATTATTATTATTATTATTATTATTATTATTGTTATTATTATTATTATTATTATTATTATTATTATTATTATTATTATTATTGTTATTATTATTATTATTATTATTATTATTATTATTATTATTATTATTATTATTAGGGTCAATGTCAATCCCAAGAAGTTGAAAAAACTAGCCGTGCATGTGCGATTACTTCCTTATTATGTTTCTGTACATTTCATAGAAAAGATTCTGAAATGAAGATCTTCCAATATGATTGATTACAATAAGATAATACTCGGAATTTTCCAGTACTGAGCAGTGGCGTGTTGTTAGAAAAGTGTCGGATCTTCTCACTCGCTTTTTAGCCTGACACGCAAAAGGACCTTCTCTATTCATGATAGCGATACCCCTTTATTCACCACTAAGGCATTGGGCACGAAGGGGAGTAGTGAGGTGAAATGCCTTGATTGTTTCCTGATATTTATAATTTGATTGTTCCTTGGTTTAGCCGACAATACACGCGTTGATACAGTTGTATTTGCGGGCAGCGTCGTACATACGTAAAAGCTGGGCACACATTCGGCCCAAGAATGCAACTCCGCTCTGTGTTTGACGATGCGACGCCGCCTGCTGATTGTCGTGGCAGTCTGATCGGTCGTGCAGACATCGTCACTTCGTCGGCCGTCCGGCGACCGTCGCAGTGTGCGTCCGGTTCATTTTTTTTGCATTTGCGTTCGTCGTCAACGAGGGGTGTTGCGTGCGTTTGCGTGCGTCCATTGATTAACAAGAGTGATTAACTCGTAGATTGTTCTATTTATACTCAAATCAATTGCACAAATGCATGCGTAGACCCATGTCACTCTCATCAAAAATGAATAATAGTTAACTTCACTTAGCGTACTTGCGCCCTAGTTTTCGTTTCAATGCTTAATCATTAAGTGACAAAATTAGAGGACGGGGAATGAGTATCATCCATCATAGGGGCTTGATGCAAACGAGTGAACTTCACTGTCAAATTGAAAGAAGATCGCGACCGATTTGTGACTCATGTGTGGACTTGTTAATCCGCAAAACTGAGTCGGATATCTACTCGGTTTCTTCATCCATCAGGAATTAATGGAAATGAGTGAACTTGGCTATCAACCTGGCGTAAGACTGCACTCGACTTTTCCTGTATTAATACATTATTGCGATGGGATAGATTAAAATTAGAGTCAAGTTTGAGGCAGTTTGACTGTTAATCATGGTAAAAATGCAACGGAATGTTAAGATAAAAATACACCCAAGGGTGTAGGCACAACTAGTAAATGACGGACTCACAATGATTTTACATGACAGATTACTGTAGTACAAATAATAAAAAGTAAAAGAAATTTTATGTGTTGAAAATATCTTACAAAGAAAGTTGATTATTTCCTTTATTTCCTTCTATGTTGTCGTTCCTTTTCCTCCTTTATTCTTATTGTCCTCTTCCCCTACCTACTCCCACTCTACTCTACCAGTTGGCACATTTTATTTCTTTTTTTTTTTAATTCTTAGATTTGATAATTATTACGATTATTATTGCTATTATTATTATTTATTTCCCTATTTTGATTGTTTTTGTTGCATACTATCATCATTATAACAACGATAATAATAATTAATTAATAAATAATAATTATTATTGTTATCATCATTATGTTATTATGATTATCCTATTCATTGTTATTATTATTATTATTATTATTATTATTATTATTTATTATTATTAATAATATTATCTACATGTTCACATAAATCATGTGTTATGATTATCCTTATTCATTATTATTATTATTATTATTATTATTATTATTATTATTATGTTATTATGATTATCCTATTCATTATTATTATTATCATTATTATTATTATTATTATTATTATTATTATTATTATTATTATTATTATTATTACTACTATTATCATTATCATCATCTACCGTACATCGTGACATAAATTAACAACCATTTTAATTTGAGATTGAGATTTGTTTTTTCTGCACGCACAATATGCTAGCATCTAAGAAATTACAGTAATAGGACAGTATTTTGAGATGTGTAAAGTCGTTTTTCACCAAGGATAATTTCCTAAAAGTTAATAGGTGATTGAAATAAAACATCCTAAACTTCCTGTTTGCAGAGCTGAATTCCGAAATAATTATAGTCGAGCATGCCGACGCGATCTGTTCACAAACGGCCATGAAAGTGCTTCGTTCGTCGCTAGGCCACCGCATGACTACGAGAGGCAAATGTCCATATAAAAACAAAGCTCTAATTAGTTAAGGCCAATTAAAATCTAAATTAAACTGCTTCTAAGATGGAAAATGTTTTGACAACATATAGAAATCACATTTAATGAAGAGGCCGTGGGCCTATGTCACGGATGTGAAATGTTTGAAGTTTGAAGTGCAATGGAGCTATAATAGCCTACCACAGTAATAAGCATTATTTCAAATTAACATAGGCCTTTTATAAGAACACTGAGGCTTAATTTCCTAAAAATTACAACAAAATATATAAGAACACGTTGAGGCTGAGGCAAAATGTGGAATGGAACTTTCATATAAGAAATAAAGAAAGAAGGAAAGAAAGGATGAAAGAAAGAAAGAAAGAAAGAAAGAAAGAAAGGAAGGAAGAAAGAAAGAAAGAAAGAAAGAAAGGAAGGAAGAAAGGAAGAAAGAAAGAAAGAAAGAAAGAGAGAGAGAGAAAGAAAGAAAGAAAGAAAGAAAGAAAGAAAGAAAGAAAGAAAGAAAGAAAGAAAGAAAGAAAGAAAGAAAGAAAGAAAGAAAGAAAGAAAGAAAGAAAGAAAGAAAGAAAGAAAGAAAGAAAGAAAGAAAGAAAGAAAGAAAGAAAGAAAGAAAGAGAGAAAGAAAGAGAGAAAGAAAGAGAGAAAGAGAGAAAGAGAGAAAGAAAGAAAGAAAGAAAGAAAGAAAGAAAGAAAGAAAGAAAGAAAGAAAGAAAGAAAGAAAGAAAGAAAGAAAGAAAGAAAGAAAGAAAGAAAGAAAGAAAGAAAGAAAGAAAGAAAGAAAGTAAATAAATAAAAAATATAGAATGGAAAACTTACTCCTTCTTCTTTTAGAGGGCGCTTCTTTCGTCTTTCCTGCTCATCTAGACTTCAGACACAACCAGCAAAGAAACACATCAACACATTACTTATATTTTTTTTAATTATATAACTTTAGAACCAAAATCATAATATGAAAATTTTATTATAGGAAATTGTTTCTCTTGGTCAATATTTTGCAATGATAAAAACTCTCTTGACATTGAAAATAATTAGTTAAATTCCCTCGATACTCCGATAAAATACATTCGATGTATGTTTTCTTTCACTATGATTAAGCTGTCTCAATATTCAGTCCGATGTTGACCTAAACTCCAGTATATCCTCTCTTAATTGTCTTGCAAACAATTTGGCATAATCAATTAAATTAACTAAAAGTTCAAATGCTTTGCACTGCCTGTATTAGAAAAATGAATTATAGTAGTTCTGGTGCCTCTTCTTCATCTTATCGTAATTCGATCATATGATCAATATTTCAGAATAATGCAAGTTGTCTTGATCCAGCAACTTGTTTCTAAATATACAACAATTGTTTGTGTTCTTTCACCGGGATTACTCGTTCGATCTCTTCAAGTGTACTTTACTTTTCTTGCAACATTGGCCATGCTTTGCTGCTGCATCTGCCAAATACAAAATTTAATAAAAGAGTGAGAAACAGCAGATAATGAGAAACGAGAGCAGTCTAATAAATAATAATTTCATAATGTAACTTTAGTATATCTCATTTGATACTTACAATGCCATTGATTCTTTGATGCACTTGCAGTAAAGATTTGTCTGTCCTCTGCAAACAAACAAATGAGGCATGTTGTGGCAAAATGGCTAAGTTGTAGCAAAAATTGAAATTCAGGTTATTGGTATTTTCAGATACCTGAGTATGTTATCTTTAAAATGAGAGGTCATTCATTCAAATTGGACATTTCAAGCCTAAGTTATTGGAAAGTGAAAGTAGAGTACTCTTAGACTCAAGATAAACATGATTTTGAGTAATTGCCTTTCAAAGTTATTTGTACATACATTGTTTAATAGAATGAACTATAAAAAATAACGTTAAATAAACAATTTGTTAACCACTTCCAGAACTAATACTTTGGGTACAAGAAAACATAAAAGGTAAATTTAATCTAGCATAACAGTTATAAAGTTCTTGTAATTATTTACATTATTAAAAAACATAGGGCTAACTAATATTTGAAAAATTAATTCTTATAAAAAATTTGGAAGAACTTTCAGGCTGACCAATGACAAAATGAATATTGAAGAAGTTGCTTCTTTAATTAATGATTTGTTTTTGTGCAAAAGAAACAGACAAAAGTAATGGTCGTAGCCTATGGTTAATAACAACAAAATCAATGCGTCAGATAGGCCATTTTAATACGTACTTTAACTAGTTTCTGATGGTGGCCTGCCAACCATTGCATGTCTTTTATTTAAACTGCAGGACACAATTTTGTTTTGTTTTGTTTTTGTTTTTGTTTTTGTTTTTTTTTTTGGGGGGGGGGGGGGGGCGTGGTTATCATGTTTATTTAGGATAGATAGATTCATAGTTTAGTAATGTTTCTGTTTTTTTTTTTAATTATTAGTCTCTTCCTTCTTTTTATTGACTAACATACCGTATAGTAAATTAAAATTGAAATAATCTCAATCTTTATGGTCTTTCGATTTGTTGCTCTTTTCACCCCTGAAGTTCATGTTCTTTTTTTTTTTTTTAAATTAAACTTATAAGATTTGTTAAGAAGTAAGAAGTGTGTGTCAATTAGCTGGTGGATGTCCTAATAACCTTAAGTCATGAACAATTAATAAATGAATAGCTAATCCAAAGTAGGGGCGTACATGTTTATATTTCATAAAATGATGGTTCCATTGATTACTGGCCTATAAATGCAAAATGATAGGGAAGTACTGCCTATTCGTTACTTGGATATGAATTTTCTGTTTTTAAGTTTAGGTTAAAGTTTTTACTTAGGGCCTAAAAGCCAGCACTACAGCTAGATATAGAATTTTCCCTATGTTTTTAGCTCATCACAGCGGTATATCTTTCCAGTATGGTAGGCCTATGGTATAAAATGCATGCAAAACGGTTGATTGTGTTTTTTACCCGTTTTATCATATAATTCGGTAGGTCCGTTTAAGGTATCATTACGCAGTTTATTTGGTCTAGATTTATTAATCTGTAGACATAAATAAAAAAAACATGTCATAATTTTATTACTACGTAAACGTGTCTGGAATCATTAATAGATGACTTTTTTCAGCCACTTAGGGTTGTTTATTATGTTTGTGAGTGAAGACAAGATGGCAGCTCGCATGGGTGAAATACGGAAGTGAATGACAACAAATGTTTTCGATGTATCACAGTTTTCTGCAGTATTATATATGAACTTATTTGACATCAGCAAGACATCAATACAATTACATGTTGATACCTACAGAATTGTACAAAGTAAGTGAAGATCTGTTTGTAGGAACGGATGGAAAACCAAATTATGAGTGTCTAGGCCAGCGCTCGTCGTAATTATGTCCTGTATGCCCTGCCTGAAAGGACACCTTAATAGGCGTAAACAATCTGTAATTGGTGTGACGACTACGCATTTTTGGGCCTAGCATTATACTTGTTTTTGAAACAGTTATCGTGAATTTTAGAAGCACAACACCGACCCGGTAGCATTAAATATACAGTATCTATCATAATCCACCATTGTCTCAGAACTTATTTAAATATTCAATGTTTATCTCCAGAAATTATCTCTTGACTTTGTGTTGTTTTATGTTAGATAATAGATCAGAGTTGTGCTAGGACCAGGTACTGTATTGTACGTCATATCAATATATGGTATGTATGGTAATCTCCTAGTTAGATCAGAGAGGGGCTATTATACAAATATTGACTGCTCATGAGGGGAATGGTGAAATCTATTGCCCTGAGGTGATGTGGAGACTATAGCCTGCTATCTTGTCGAGGGCCAAAGGCCCCAGGGAAGATAGTAGGCTAAGGTTGCAGTATGATCTGATCACCACATAACCGGAGGGCTACAGTTTTCACTGTTCCTCGAATCTAGAGCAGTCAATATTTGTTTTATATATTTCATACATAGATTCTACGAGGCTAAAAAAAGTAAAGAAAAGAGTACCCACCAAGTAGGCCTAGACGGTCAAAGGGCCTATCTCTCTCATCGTAGAGGTCGCACTCCCCTTACCGCCCATACTGTACATGTCATAAATTACACAGCGACATTATACAGTAAGTGGGGGCTAGAGATTAGCCGATAGGAAAAAGCCAAATATATTGTCCCCTAATAGTGATGTCCCAAAGAAGGGCTTCTACTGTATTTTATTCTCAAATTTAAAATGTAAGGGCTTAATTGTGTCTGTAGGCATATCAAAAAATGTAATAATAAAAAAACAGGACTTTTTTTTATATAGTAAAATTACAATACCATTTTTAACTAGAAAGATAGCCTCTTTAATGTTTGCCTTACTGTAGGCCTTTTACTTGTATCTTTGTTTTATTGTTTTTCATATTCATGAACTTGAATAAATGAAATAAAAATATTAACTGATGAAGTATGAATTTAATAATTTTGTAAGTTTTATATACTATGATGCTTTAAAGTTCTTAAGTTTTCTTGGAAATCAGATTTTGAATATTGTATTTATATTTTTTTAATTTAATTTAAATTTTATTAAATTAATTTTGACTTTAATTTATATGGCACATTAATATTAAAGCAATATAACACATGAAATGAAAAGTCTGCTTAAGTCGGCTCAGCCTAGTCACCCTAAGCCTAGGATCCCAGCTTACACGGGCAGTATAACATTTCTTTTAAGATGCTATCTAGCCAATTGACATACAGTGGAACCTCTATTAAAGAGACACCTTTGGGATCGAAAAAGTGTCCCCTTGATAGAGGTTGGTCGTAGTGTTAATAGATACATTTTCTTCACTTCTTGCCCAAAAAGTGTCCCTTTATTTTATAGGTGTCCCCCTTAATATGGGTATCCCAAAGGAGAATTCTAACTGTGTTTCCGTATTATGCTACATTAATGATAATCCTTTTCAAAATGTAAGCATCTCTATTTTTTATTACCCTACTGTATTTAAAATCACAGGAAGAGGCACTTTGAATACACAGTTTTTTCTCTTCCAGAATTCATGTTGATGAACAAGATGGCATAAACAGGTATAGATTAGGATCAATTTAGTCACATCCCACAATGGCGTTGTTAGATGATCCCTCCTTCATCATATCGCACATTCGTCATTCCTTCATCACAAGTGATGATACCGGAATGTGCGAGATGGTGATCATGAATGAGGAGGTTGATCATAATAGCAAAAAGCGGGAACTTCAAGCAAAGAAGACAACCCCGTGGTCAACGTACTGTGTGCCAGAGAATGATTCTGGTGAGTTCAAAGTTTAACAGTGTTATATTTTTTACAGCTTTTTACATGTTTTTTTTTTAAACTAAGGTTGTGGCTGGATAATCAGTGGCAGATTCAGAAATTTGCAATAGTAGGGGCACAGAGAGGGACTTTAATAGATAGAGGCTCTATACTGCCACAGCCCCATCATGCTTTGGGCTGAGGTAAGAAAATTTATGGTTATGACACCTGCTAGATGGCCGGAAATGGCACTCTTAGACTCAAAATTTGAAAAAACTATTCTTTTTCTCATTTTTTTTTTTAAATTCTGAATCCACCACTGATAATTAATGGTCAATTTAAACCTAACAATTAAAATGTTTTTACATTTATGATTTTTTACAGTTGTGGGATGCATTGCACCCATACTGAACACACACAAACCTCTCAAGACATTATTTTGTTCTGTTTCCATAAGTATTACTGCTGGGCCTCATTACATTTTTGTTTCTTATTTGTCATCTGTATCCATTTGATCCTATCCTTATAAATTAACTCATTGGTCATAGTTCAGTAATTATAAAATTAAAGTCTGGTCCCTGGGAACTCAAAGCAACTGCCGTGCAACACCACCCTGAGGGTAACTTTTTGCAGTACACTTGGAGACAATCTTCTGGTCTTTTCTGAAAAGAGTATGCTTTTTAAATATCTATTTCTAAAAACAAAGCATTATCATACATTACTTTTGAGTAAAGACAAAATGTTTGACAATTTGATATCCAGACGCGTGCACAACTCTGGAAGAAATATATTGTAGTACCTGAACCATTCTTTTAAATGTCCTACCATTATTGGCCATTAAGATGTTCATTAAGATATCGTAAAAAAATAATTTTACAATAACACAAATCTACAAAGTATTGGATGAAGCCTTGTCACACTACAAAGCAACACGTTTGAGAATTCATTATTTAAATTACGTTAGTATAGTACATACAGTGAAGGGAGCAACAGAGTATTCAGTATATAGTTAGGTAAGTGGAACAATGGGTGGGTGTCATTTATGAGAATAATTTTCAGGCTAATATTATTGTTGACTTTTAAGTCTCTCAAGATGGAAGGGTGACCAGACAGAAGATGGTTCCCCAAGTCATTTAAACTTACGCCATTTATACAGGAGTTCCCTTCTTTCTGCTCCCCCTCCTGCAAATATCTGGACCCGGCCCAGTATCTCACAGCCTCGCGAAAGGCCGCCAAATAATAATTAACAAATTGTGAAATAATTTAGATAAGAGATGTGTAAAATTCCAAAGACTGGACACCCACAGTATGTAGGGGAAAACCATAAAACCTTCACAACCATAGGTTCCCTTTCCTTCGGACCTTATGCCACCCCCCCCCCCCCCCACTCCCAAAGCAAAACAATTATGGATCCTGCATTCAGGCACACAAAGATATTCATACAATGCTTACCACCAGCTCCTTCAAACTGCACTAACAATATGATACAGTATTTTAAGTTATGTCCCCACTCTCCATAGTACTGGGTTCTGCCTCACTGATGTCAAACTACCGGTATATTTTTAAGTCGTATCATTATTATTAACTCTGCCAAGGATGTTATGTATTCACCCCTTGTCTGCTGTTAACAAGATTACGCAAAAAGCAAGGAATGGATCATCATAGAATTTAGTGGAATGGTTCATAATAATCTAAGTAAATCCTTGCCAAGCTGGAGCTTACAGTATCCCCAGTTTCTGTAGCATGAAGTGGATGAGAGTGTGATACTGGGTAGGACGCTGGTTCACCGCAATATAAGACAAAATATGTACATTCAAATAATTTTTGTTATTTCTATAAGAAATGTTCATTTACACATAATTTTTAATAAATAAAATACTTTATATCAGAACAATATGGAGAAGTTAATACTATTTAATGTAACTTTCTTAATAATGTAATATATTTATATCGTCGCTCACACCACGAACTAACACAATCAAATTAGATTGTGTTAGTTCGTGAAATCAAGATAGCGCGTCAAAATATGCGCTGTTGTTGTTAAGGACTTTTTGTGTGGTAAAGAATACAAAATTGCTTGACAACAAATACGCACTCGTTTTGACGCGCTACTGTGATTTCATGAACTAACACAATCTACTTTGGTTGTGTTAGTTCGTGATGTGAGCGACGATATTTTCTGCAAAAAATATTAATATTTTGATTTCATATTGTCTATTTCTACCTAAACCAAGCGGGTAATTAAAAATACTCAGCAGTTGTTAATGGATATTTATACCGCATCTGTAAGAGATTGTCATAATTGTCAAAATATCATATTTATTGACACAAAGACTTAACAAAATGTATATAAGAATTCTGTCAATCCATGCAGGATTGGAGTTTTTGCCTCAGGTTTAAACCATTAAATCTTACGAGTTTTGAATCTGCATAAAAATACATCCATACTATAAAAAAGAAAATAGATCATTTACCTGTGGTAACCCCATGAAGAGCTTTCACAGTAATTTGAAATATCTTCTACTATATATAAATGAAAAAAAAATTGCTTAATTATTTCATTGCAAGGTTTTGCAACATATGTCATATCTCGTCTTCTCATTAGTATTTGAGTTTTAATATCTATCGCGATGTTGAAATAGGTTTGCGGCTATCAGGTAGTATGCTGGAGTTGATTGAAATAATTGTTGTGGCATTGATACTAAAATTGATTTGGTTTAGTTCGCATGAGTTTTAATCCTGATTAAGATGTTAACGTTTGATTATTTTGAAATTGTCTTGAGGGAAGATGTGGAAAAGGATGAGAAGAGGTGAGATGAAAAGAGAAGACAGACAGAATAGAGGAGAAGGAGTAAAAGATTGAGGTCAGGGTATGAACAAATGGAAAGAATATTTGCAAGTGAAAAAACAGATAGATATAGTAAGCGATGGTAAGAAATAGGGAATAGGTGGGGGGAAGGGGTGAGCTGAGGGAAAGGTGTGAGCTGAGGGAAAGGTAAGTATAGGGAAAAGCCATTAGGACCACTAGTGAATGGAAGCACACCAATCAAATTAGTCTTTCCCTAAACATTGATGATACTAATGTTTATTAATTTTTGATACATTTTAATGTATCTTTATCTGCCTCAAATAGGTACACAGTATTTTCATGGTCGTTGGGAAGAACAACAATCATACATATAATCTGGAGCATCCAATGCTCCCTTTAGAATATTTCTTGTCGCGCATGAATTCAGCATTGACCCCTTCAACAGCATTTACATCCTATTTGTAACTGTACCCCAGTGGTCATTGGAAACTGGAAAAGTCATACACATAATGTGCTACTTCTTCACATTCAATGTACATATGGTACCTTACCAGGTATTCCCTGTATTCCCTTGAGTGGAGATAGACTAACTAGATAAAGTGTCTCTCCTTCACTTTTTTCCCCATCTGGGTCTCTCGTGAGATCTAGGTTATTGCTGCCAAGTTGCCCAAATGCCTTCCTCTACAAATTCATGACATATACACTTTGTTTATTTTCATAGTTAAAAATATCATAATGATTAATATCAAAATAAAAAAAAATAATAATAAAGTAAAAAAATATAAAATTAAATAATATGTACGTGAGAAATATAAACACTGTAGAATATCTTCAATAAATATTAAATGTATAGCAAGAATATTATTTACTGCAAGAAAATATAAAAACTTCAAATCTGTGAGAATATACTTTTTCTTAGCGAGAGTGCCGAATGGATGCTTATTAGTGAGTCTCAAGCTGGGCACTCACTGCCTACAATGGTCGTCGGTCGACGCGATTCAATGGCGAACGTAATGCGAAGACGTATGCGTAACGGGTTGTTTTTATTTGCGGTCCATTCAGACTGCCACGGACAATCAGCATACTGCATTGAGTTGTCTAACACTTACAGGGAGCGGAGTTGGATTCGTCTGAGTGCCCGGCTTAAGGTCCATGAGACTTAGCCAGTATGGTAATTGTTTTGCATTTTTATGCAAAACAATTACCAAACTTCTACAAAATTCATCATGTACAGTATATGCACAGTATATATTTACATCTAAGCCAGTAACATACTGTATTACTTTATAGTAAACAAAAAAAAAATCTCAAAATAAACAGTAAACAAATAGAACCATACACCATACACTATTTTTACCAAGCTGTAAGACTGATCTGGCTAAGATCCTGTTTAGAAAGCATGTAATTAGTTACCTTTAAAGATCCATACAGTTGAGAAGATCTCTTGTCCTTAAGGTGATATTCATGAGAATAGATATTTGATTCAATGAATAGAAAACAATTTGTGATAATGCATCGATTTGCTTCTTATAGTCTTTATCTATTTGTATACGAAATGACTCGCTAACGACTGTAGACAAAATGATTGATTAGTTTTGAAAAGCATCATCATTATATTCATAACAAGGATAAAGGTGTTTAAAGTTTTCGCATCAAAATTTGATTGCTGGTCAGGCGTCACAGCGCGCTGTGCTTCGCCAAGGGGAACGGATGACAAAACTACAGCGTGGAACATAGTACGCATAATAATGCCACTATTTTAATATTGAACGATATTGTCTGTTATGATTGTGCCAGTCCCTGGAGAGGTTGTAGCTGATTGTGCTGAAGTGGAATTATCTGAGACTGGTGATACAAATAACTACATTCTAGTGAAGACGCAATAATTCATTTCAGATCTACAAAAATCCAATTATCAACTGTGATGAATAGTAGAGCGCATTACTCTCAGTTAAATGGACTGTAAACTGATGGAAGGATCAAGTCCTGGTCACTGGAAAACAGTGTTTTTTTTCCCGTCTAAAACATCATTAAGTATTCATACGCTCAACTATTAGGAATTTGAGATTAAGTCAACAGTGATATGATACCAGAGCTATCTTTATATTAATCGGTATTATAAATAGAATAGTTAATTTTGTACAGTGGTGATTTGATATTTTATAAATATGACTTGAAAATAAGTTCTTGATATTATCGATTATACTGTAGG